ATAGAATGTACTATGAAGCAAGCGACTAAGGTGGAAGAAGAGAAGGCATGAAGCAACCACTGAAGCTAATTCTAGAATGGGTCCAAACCAGTCATCTTTGTAAGGAGAGGTGCATGCATTGCGGTGCTAATAGTGATAATAATGGCAATCTTTTCATGGATGGGTTCAAACCAGTCAATGACTTTCAAGAACACGCACAATCAAAGACGAAGGTCAGATCCAGGCCTTTAGCTCCAAGCTTTCTTTTCTCTTCTGCTCTCTCCTTATTTAGATCCAAAACGAAAGCATATGAAAGTGAAACTTCTGATCAGTGGATTCTCCGAGTTCGGCGACGTTCTGTGCATCGCAAGAGGTGCACGCGCACCACTTAGACCTAGTTGAGTCCGACCTTCGACTAATTGTTTTAGATCCAAGATTCGCGTCTTGGGATTTAGATCTGGTTGATCTGGCAACCTTCCTCTTTATACAATCTTGTCTACCCTTAACCAAACCTGTTTGTCATCGCCCATGGCCTCAGATCTGATCTTTACCCTTGTTGCATTAGATTTGCTAGGGGAAGTCTGGGTATCTTCTTGTCCCTGTTCCTCCCCCCCCCCCCTTTTCTTGGCCTGCCTCTTCTTTTCAAGTCATGCTGCTCACTCGTGGATTTTTTTATCTTTGGAAAATTGCCATGTCATGTGCTTTTATATGCCACCCAAGATTAATTTGATCAAATTTTTGCTAATTCAGCTAGTTAACAGTTAAACTGAGAATTGATTTTGAATGAGATTGTACCAATTTAATAACTTTGAAGGTAAAATTACATCATAAATAATTTCAGGATATTCGGTGCATTCAAAAAAATAGTTAGGAATACTGAAGGTACCTTGACCCATATAATAATAAACAACTTTAGTTAATTGTTTTTATGGGTGTTTGATGACTAGAGGAGTGAAATTAAATGCATGTTCATTAATCTCTCTGCCCAATAAAAGTGGTTCATTGCAAGACTAGTTTTCTAAAGGCATTTATATTCATGAATACTACATATAAAAAAGGAATCGAACCAATATACAAAAAAATCGGATTGGACTGACCGAACCCTGGCCACTTGCCTGGATTGGTTCATCCTCTAAACTGGGAAAAATTCGAGTCGGTACGGACTGGTAATAACCAATATGAATAGCCAGCTAGGTTGCTTGGGTTACCCAGGTTATGGTTTCTTTGATCCAAGACGGAGACTGAGAGCTGAAAAGATGGAGAGATGAAAAAATGGGCAGTGGTGGGTGATGATTGTTGAGCTAAGCCAGCAAGATGAATTCGAAATGGAGGAGCAAGAATGAGATTGAGTTTAATGAAATATGTGATGTTTCTCCCTCTCTAGGTGTGACTTCAGCCTTCGCTCCTCCATAGAAGATGGTCGCCGAAGGAAAAGAAGATCAGAAGCAATAGATAAATTAGTATTTCAAAAAAATGGGTTAAGAAGCATGCTTGGGTCATCTGTTTCTCTTACGTCGTAAGCTCCCAATTTAAAATCCTTCTCTCCCTGCACACGCTTCCTCCTCTTGTCAGATCTGTAGGTTTTCTTTTATCTGGGAAAAAAAAAAATCAAAATAGAGGTGCCCAAGCTACAAAAGTTTAACGCTGGAAAATGAAAAATTGAAAATTTCTCCAGCACGATTTGCGCACTGCCCCTCAGGCTCTCACAATTTTCAATCACTAGGCTACGTATTTATTTAAATACTGTTTTTTTATAATTAAATATAAATATCTTTGTATATTACAATTAAATAATATTATTTTAATTATAAATGGTTTGATCCTGGTTGAACCATTAACTCTTAAACCACTGTCTCAACCGGTTCAATAGCCGGCTTGGTTTTTTGAACCTTGAATGGAGCTAGAGTGTGTTTAAATTAATGATGGGAGAAGTTATTTTTTTCAATATGATTTTTGTAAAAGTCAAATTAAGTAAAATTTAGGTCTTGTAATATGATTTATATTTGGATTGGGTTTTGTAAAAAATTCAATTTGAGAAGCTGAAAGTTATTTGGATAATTAATAAGAAATAAATTTAAATATAAAATAACTAAAAAGAAATTGAATATTACATATTTATATTATGATAATGGTCGGAGAATAATTAAAATTAAAATTATAAAAATAAAAATAGTTCTTTTTAAGAATAATTAAAACTAACATAATACATATAAATTTTAGAAAAATTTGAGAAAAAGTCCTCCTATTAAAAATATAATTAGTGAAAAGTATCTAAATCATAATACAAGCATTCTATATGTATAATATTTACACTTAGTATATAAAAGCTATCAATTACTTCTTACCAATTAAATTTTTAATAGAACATAACCACCAAGTACTTGGATCACCTGGTAAGGGATTGTTCCAGCTTAACCAAAGGTCACGGGTTCGATTCTTTGGGCACGCGGCAATGTAGGTGGTAGGGTAGCCGCCCTTAAACAGGCCGGCCCATTTAAACCCGAGTCTCAAAAATAGGTGGCTTTCTCAAGCCTAGCCTATGAGGTGACGGGTTTAGGGCTAGCCCCCAGGCTTCTAGCTTGTTTAACTATAAGTATAATTTTTTTAATGTTTATTGCAGATTTTATTAAAATAACAAAAATGAAACAATCAAATTACTAATATAATATATAAATGCAAATAAAAATAAGCCACAAACATAAACATCATCATATGTAAACATCCAAAACATCCATCACACTATAATAGAGTTTGTTGAATAGACAAACTAAACAGAAGACAGACAAAAAAAAAAATACTAAGTTCATATTAAACAACTAAACAAGCACTAAGTTCATATTTAAAAAATAGAATTTTTAAAAAAAATTGTTGGCAGGCTTAAACAAGCCAGCTTGTTTAATTTAAGGCCCTACTTCTTTTAAGGCCAACTTACCTTTGAAGGCTTCAAATTACTAGCCCGGCCCAACGAGTTCGGCTTGTTTTACCGGCTCTAGCCAAAAGCAATAAGTTGGAGCTTTTGGGGAAAAAAAAATACTTTTAAACATAATTACCTTTACTTTTACAGCCAATCCAAACATTTATTTTGAGCATGAAGTTACTTTTTTCAGTGGAGAAGTCAATTTTGTGAGCCACTACTGTGATCCCAAATAGACTCCTAATTGATGAAAGAAAAGGAAAACACATCAAACACAAAACCTCATTGTATGAGCAGCCAGTTGATCTCATAATTCAACTAAGGAAGATCCAGTGTCTTCACCCTCTGAAATTACGTCCTAGTTCATATCTATTTTCAACTAGCTTAATTACTCTAACGTTCATTTTGACCCTCCAACCTTAGGTCAATCATGTTTACCTTCATTCAATCTCTTTTCCTGAGACCATGCCTGTCCATACACTTTGTCTGAACAGGCCAAGTATATTGTATTCCCTCTGCTTCTATTATAAGCTCAAATTTATAAAAGAGTATGGTTTATTATATAAGTTTTAATTTAGATTTATCTCAATATTTAATCATTTGGCTAATTTTACTCTTAATTATTTTTTCTCTTTCTCTTTTGGCCCACACTGTCTCATTATTTTTTTTGGGAGAATTACAATGACATCTCAAGAAAGAAAAAATTACAAAACTTGTCATTACAAGCTACTCAAGTTGTTATTGGGACATTTTAGTAATTATTTCTCTTTCTTAGGACTTGATTATAATTTTTCCTTATTTTTTTCCATACATTTTCTCTCTCTTTTTTTTATTTATCATACGAGCATATTTGAAATCAAGAGTATATTAGTTACCTATTTATTGCTTTTAATTAATTTTAACTTATTTTCTGTTATACACAAATCTGTTATTTGAAACTTTTAATAAAGATCGAAGTTAGTAGCCATCAACGATTCATGTACCTCTTTCGATTCTAAATATACGAATTAATTTGTAGTATAAATTACACTACAGACTAGATTATATATTTAGGATCAGGTTACACTACAAACTAGTTCTTATATTTAGGATCAAATGTAGTATATTGTTGACTGTTAGGCAGTTATAGATGCGGGCACCTTGAGATGTCAATTCTTTGAGACTAATTAATATGGTTTGAAAAACTGAAAGAAATTTAATGACATGCGACTGCTTGAGTACTATGACACGCAACTTTGCGCTTGTGGCTAAAGATAATGGGCTGATGTTATTGATTACATAATTTAAGTTTTGGATATGTATTTTATTCAAGGGAGAAATTTAGGTTTGTAAAACAAAGCCTCTAATAAAATGTTGAAGAAATTCTTTTGCCCCGTTTGGCAATGGTGAACTCAAATCAGAGAAGTGGTATTTTTGAATTAAGTTTCTTGCAGAACTCAATTCCATCAAAATTAATAGAGTCAAGTTCCACACCCACCTCATGGAACTCAGCTCCACTTCCCTCAGATCTCAAGTCTATAATAAGGATAGAATGGTATATTACATAAAAAATTTATTTGACTGTAGGGTAACCTATTGAATTGTCTCATTGGCACATAGTTCTCTAACTATATTTATAAAGTAGAGAGGTAATGTTTTATTATTCTATTTATAAATCACATTGTTAAATTTTTAATATAAATGTATTATTTTGCCTTTCATTTATTACTGTGTATATTGTTCTTTTCTTAGAATATAAATATTAAATAATAGCAGTAAAATTTAAAAGAAAATTATTAAATTATTAAGCAGAGTTAATGATATTTAATGTTTTCCTTTATTGTATCAAAATATATTAAAAGTAATTTATGAACAAAATTAGAGGAGACTTGCTAGCGTATCTCGCTTCTATCTTAAAATGTCAAATTGGTTAGTTGGAGTTTGCTATTATGACAAGACAAGTTGCAATTTGATTGGAAGTCCCCACAAAGACGAAGCCAAATCAACTGATAAAATAAAATTAAGAGATAAACATTTGGCGTCAAGTGAAAAAGACGAGAGATATTAAGGGGATACAAGGCCAAGCCTATCCATAATAGCCTTGAGTAAACAACTGTGAATCAATTCCATGGAGAAGGGTAGCCGATCAACGAATAAGCAGATCAATGTTTATGTAAGTTCCAGAGGCGATGAAGTTGATGTTTACGAATTCACCAACAGGCTTTGTGCTGCTTTTGAAAGTGTAGGTTTAGTTACCTTTGCGCCCAACAATAAGCTCGACACAATAATGAGCCTCCATCTACCTAAACACCTTGAAAGAGCCATTCGTGAATCATGGGTTTTAGTTGTTGTCTTGTCCAAAACTTATGTTGCTTCAACACGGTGCTTGCAGGAAATCCACTGGATTTCTCGGTTCCCTGAGTTTCTCATTGTGATACCAATTTTCTACTCTATCGATCCAATCAAGGTGGTAAAGGTAAAATTCTTCTATCAATTGTCTCTCTTTTCGATCACTTTGGCCCTTGAAGAGATCCAAGTTCTTGAAAATTTACCTTCTTAAGCTTCAGGTTGTGTGACTGCTATATAGGCTTGAAAGATTTCTCTCGCTCCATTTCTTTTCTGATATAATACAATTATATGCACGTCCACACACAAACATGTTAATGCTAAGTACGAACCGAGGCCTCATCCAAACTTGACTGGCGGTGCTGCCACTGACCATTTCTTTCTCTCCACAAATTCCCCTCTCAAGGTTGTTGATGTCTACTGCTAAGAACAAAATCCAGGAGAACCTATTTCAAAAGACTAGCCTATTAGCAGAATAACTTCTTTGAACTTATAAACACACTTCACTTGTGAGGCTTGACCAGAATGAGTTTTGTCCTATTGCTTGTTCCTGCGCCTGGTAGGATTTTAGTGTAATTGATTGTGATATGTAGTGCTCTTTTTAAAAGAGGTTGAGTTCAAAGAAGGAGTTGAAATTCATATGTATTGTGATTATCAGTGATTCATGCATCAATCTCCAAATCCTCCTTTTTAAGCATCAGTTAATCATCTGCAAGAATTCTGATGATATGTAATGCCAATTTGCCACCAGGGTTTTGATACGATCTGGAATGTGGCCAAAAGACTCAGGAATGACAAAAAACTAACAGCAGAGGATATGTTGAGAATCTACCACGATGACCCGAACGAGGCACTATTCTCCATCCAACCAACCATTGACGATTTAATGCGGTTACAATGCTTTTCTAAATATATAGGACGGTTTCAAGAATGGAGGTATGCTATACAAAAAGTGGTGGACCTCCCGGGTTGGGATGTCCGACATGGGTAAGTAATTTCATTTGCTCTTAGATCATGCATGTCCCTAAATCTCAATACGTAGGCCAATTGTAGAGATTTTTATTAGAGTAACTGTTAAACAATTAGTACTAATAACAAATTATATGCATGGTTAACTGATAAAATCTTTGAGGTTAACAGGCAGCTATATGCATGGTTGCCTACTGACACTTGTGGACAAAACAAAGCCGATTCATTTGATGTGTTTGTTTTTTTCCTTCTTTGCTTCAGTCAAAGCTCGCGAGTGATCAAAGGAATTACTAACGAGGTCCTGACACAATTGCATCAAAGAGATTTTCCTTTTGAGATGGTTGGGATGCAATCTCGTGTGGCCGAAGTCAAAAGGCTTTTGAATTTGGGTTTAGATGACAAAGTTGGAATAGTGGGCATTTGTGGTATGGGCGGAATAGGGAAGTCAACTCTTGCTCAGGTATTGTACAGAAGCATTTCTTGCTGTTTTGACGCTTCTTGTTTCCTAGAGCATATGAATGAAGCTTTAACGCAAGATGGTGGATCTCTACAAGAAATTCTTCTTCAGAACCTGGAGACCAGAGATCCAGATGTAAGGTCTATTCTGAAAGGAATGTTCTCAACACACAGAAGTGTAGGACACCACAAGTTTCTCCTAGTTCTTGATGGTGCTGGTTTTGAACAAAATCTGGAAGCAGTGAATTTGATTCGGAAATCTAATTGGTTTGGAAGGGGAAGTAGGATTATCATAACAACTAGAGATGAACGAGTCCTTCAACTATGTGAAGTGGATGCTATTTACAAGCCTAAATTATTGAGTGAGGACGAAGCACTTCAATTATTTTGTGTAAAAGCCTTCAGCCATAACTGTCCTGTGAGAGGATATGAAGAGATGACACATAGTGTGCTTGAATATGCTAATGGCCTTCCATTAGCAATAGTGACTCTGGGTTCATCCTTGTGCCAAAAAAGCGTGCAAGAGTGGAGAAGTGCCTTGGCTCAGTTAAAGAGAATTCCTAATCGTCAAATAACGGAAGTTCTCAAGAAAAGTTTTGATGAGTTAGATCAAATGAACAAGGAAATATTTTTAGATATAGCATGTTTTTTTACAGGGATGAAGATTGATTGGGTAAAGGAAATTCTATTGTGTTGTGGTTTCTCTGCAGAAAGTGGAATTGAAGTTTTGATTGAAAAATCACTCATGAGCATTTCCAATCACAAAATTGAAATGCATAATATGTTGCAAGAAATGGGACGACATATTGTTAGGCAAGAATTCCCTTATGAGCCAACTGAATGGAATAGGTTGTGGCTTCTAGATGATATTGATTATGTTATGCAACAAGATGAAAGCATGGTACGTTCTATTCACTCTTTTCCTTTAGTATAACATTATAATCCACAAAATTCACTTCTTTTCATATAAATTAATTTATTCTTAGGCTGTTGAGAGAGTTGAAGCTATAGTCCTAATTTTGGAAGACTCAAAAAGGGCTGCTTTGAGAATTGAAGCTTTATCAGGCTTGAGCAATCTTAGACTACTTATATTTCATAACGTGAGCTTTTCCGGAACCCTACATTGCATTTCAAACAAGTTACGATATGTTTGGTGGCATCAATATCCTTGCACAAGTTTACCATCAAGCTTTGAGCCTTATGCATTGGTTGAATTGATTTTGCCTGACAGTAAAATTGAAGATATATGGGAAGGCAGAAAGGTAGTGCTAACATTCGCTTTTCTATACTTTTTTTGTTTCATTGCCCAAAGTGTTAAAGAGTTTAATTATTGACTGTACTCCCACTCTATTTGATTTACAGACGCTCCCTAACTTGAAAATCTTGAATCTTAGTGGTTCCAAAAATTTGGTTAAGATGCCAGATTTTGGAGGGGCTCGAAATCTTGAAAGCTTAGATCTTGAAGCATGTACTGGATTATTGCAACTTCATCCATCTATTGCTGAAATATCAAAGCTCAAGCTCTTAAATTTGAGAAGCTGTAGTAATCTTGCTAGTATACCTAATGCCTTGTTTTGTCTAAACAACTTGGAAATGTTAAATCTGGCTTGCTGCTCAAAACTTGCTCATTGTTTGAATTTTTCCCCTTTTGAAGTGCTTGATGAAAATGAAGTAACTCAGCAGCAACCATTTTCTTGTAAGAGACAGAAATTATGTAAACGAAAATCTATTTAAGTGCTTTGGTGTTCAGGAATGCTATATCATTTCCCAGTCATCTCTCTTTCTCATGCCCTTCTCTCCCTCTCTCTGTGTGTCTATATATATATGTGTGTGTGTGTGTGTGTGTTATTTATTCAGCTCCTGTTTCTTATGCCTATATATCTTTTATTTATAGAAACAAATCCCTTCTGTTCTTATATTGCAAATGTGGGTCTTGCTGATTGTCGCTTTTGCTTTTTGTCTCAGCAAGTTAGTTATTCTGTCCAAGCAACACTCTGCTTTGCTCTGTTTTGCTCCGATTCACCCAATGCCACTATTTTCCTACCTGAAAGTGACTATTTTTGGCCGTCTAACATGAATTATTGTAGCTTCACTTCTTTTACAAAAATTCTCTGCAACACAAAATATATCATCGTCGAAGCCTCAACTTAAATGAAACCAAGCCAAGATGATGAGAAGAAGAAAACAGGAGAATCACTCGCACTTCACCTTCCGAAAGCGATGGATGAATCATGGGACGTTGGTTTTGTTAGTGGGATTACTATGGTCAATTCCTATTCAATTTTCTTTGCTCATGTTTGTCCCGAGGCTCCAAGAGTCTTAACTAGCAAACTACAGGCACGTATATTAACTTAAGTGTCGATCAATTAGTAAAAAAACTGTCAAAATGTGTAAATGAAGCAGTTTTCTTATCCTCTTACATGTTAGGAACAAATTCGCTTCATATGTAGTGCTTTGGAAACCGGAAATTTTTTTTATTTATTGGTAGAAATTTCAAGTTTTTATTTATTGGGCAAGAGATTTTTTATTTATATTTTAAATGGTATGGTCAGGAATGTAATATGGTCAAGAAGGAATTGACAGCCATGAGTGAGTGGCAAGTGGGGTGCAGTTTGCCGAAAAGCCACACAATTGCGTAGAAATTAGAAACACTTGTTCATATCTCTTTCAGGTCAAGTTCCAAGAAATTTCCACCTGAACAGTCCTCCCTTGTTTTCGTTTTATTGGTCTCTTTCATTGGCAGAGCCATGAAAATATCTTCAAAAGCTCAGCGAGTTGAGAGTGGCATAGAGAGTTTCGCTGGCAGATCGTCATTGTAATATCTTAAATTTTATTTTAGGTTTAAAAAAAATAGTTAAAGAAAAAATAAAAAATAGGGAAAATGACAGATAAAGAAGGCTGAAATAATAAAATGCCAGAATGGGAAGCTAAGCAAATGTATTACCAGATAGGGAAGTGTTGCCTGATTTGGGATTATGCAAATGTTGCACAATTACAAAACAGCCCCTCATATGCAAACCGAAAAAGTGACCGGTGGAAGTGTGGAAGTTGTGGCGGGAGCTGGAGGAAAAAGTTGGGAGGGACCACGAACGTGGGAGCATGAACGCGCGAAGCAACAACTGAACGACGGAAGCGAGGTTAGTATCCAGTGACTATATTGTTCGCCTGTGTCTTTTGTCCCTCTCCTTTATGCGCCGGTTGATTTTCCTCTTCCCGTTGGATGGCAATGTCGTCGATGTGGGGATGGTTTTGAGGTGGAGAGGGTGGCGAAGCATGGAGACGGCGTGGGTATATAGAAAGTGTGGGGGGAAGGACGGTGATCAGAGGGTGAATGCAGGGGAAGGAAAAACACTGAGGGAGAGGGGTTTGATGGCGTCACAAGTGGGTTAGAGTGATTAGTGTCAGATAAATGGACAATGTTGGAGGGAGATTCGAATAATGGAGTGGATTGATTCTGAGAAAACGAAGCATTAGTGTGGACAGGAAAGAAATGATTGTTTTGTTGCAAATTATAAGCATGAATGTGTCAAACCCTAAGTTGGTCGTGTAAGTTGATGATGATGGTATTAAGTCATATAATCATTCGACTTCTGTTATGTTATCAGTGCAGGTAATGAAGATAAATGAATTTCGCAGCTGGGTCATCTTGTGGGAAGGAGCTGTTCTGTTATTTTCATGTGGGGGGGAAATTTGTGACAAATGGTGAAGGTGAAGTGAGATATAATGGAGGTGGCGTGAGGTTAAGAAGCATTAAGGATGGGCTGACACTTGATGAATTGAGGCTAATGATATCTGAGTGGATTGGTGGCGATGGAAGAAATTATGACATTAAGTACACAGTGGCCTTTGATGAGAAGACATTGATTGACCTTCATGACAATGCTGAAATGTATAACCTCTTTCAATACAATGGGAACAGCGGTCATGTGTATGTCGCCGAAAAAAGACAAGTGGGTCCCCAACCAAGGGACAATGTAGAAATGTAAGTGGAGTTTGTCCTAACTATTTGTTGTCATTTATGAATTTCTTCTTGTCATTTGTGTTAACGAGTCTTGTCATTATGAATGCAGAACAGAGAGATTCATGGGCATGTCACAGCAAACTGAACTGGATGCGTCTCCCATTAGTTTGTGTTGTGATTATGGCTGGCTCAGTGAAGAAAATGCTCGTGAATGTGACAATGATGAAATAAGTGGGCCCCCTAATGTGGATAAATCTATCGGAGCTGAAGATACGGATGGTAGTGAGATGGTTCATGCGGAATGGAGGGGACTTTTAACAGGAGTGGGCCAACGTTTTCCTAGTGCAGATGTATTTCGGGTGTCTGTATACAAGTTTGCACTTGCAAACAAGTTTGTGGCCAAGTATATGAGGAATAGCAAGGAATTCATGTCGATAAGGTGTAAAGTTGAGGGTTGTCCATGGAAGCTATGTGCAAATCATGTGGGGAAGAGTTGTGATGTGCTACGAGTGACGACATTTATAAACCGGCATGTTCATTCTGCCCAAGATAGCTTGGACGTGATGCATAGTGGAAGAGCTAGTTTGAACTCATCAATAATAATTGATGAGATGAGGGATCATGCAGACAAGCGCACTTCTGAGATAAGGAAGAGGTTGAAACGAGAGTATGGGATTGATCTAACATATAAACAGGCTTATAGAGCAAGAGAGAAGTCACTGGAAGACATATATGGCAGGCCCGAACAATCATACATGCTCATACCATGGCTATGCGAAAGGATAAAGGAAACAGATGAAAAATCAGTGGCTGAATGGACTGCTATTGGGAACCGGTTTGAGCGTGTTTTCATTGCTTACGGGGCATGCATTGAGGGTTTCCTGGGTGGCGCGAGGCATATTATGTATGTTGATGGAACTCACTTAAGCGGACCATACAAGGGGACAATGTTGTCAGCTTCAGCTTATGATGCAGATAACGAGCTGCTGCCATTTGCAATTGCAATTGTGAAGGGAGAAACACTAGATGACTGGACGTGGTTTTTCTATATGATAAAAAAAATCCTGGGTTCTGTGGAAGTAACGATTGTATCAGATCGACACAATGCTATCATCGGAGGAGTGGCATCAATCTTTGGGGGTCAAAGGCATGCCTTTTGTTATAGACACATCAAGGAGAATTTTAGTTCAGAAGTTATGAAAATGAATAAGGGGCAAACAAGGACAAATGGCCGATCAAAGGAGGATGCACTATATTTATTGGATAAAATTGCATACGCAAGGACGGATGAGAAATTTGAGGCAGCAATGGATGACATGAGATCCTTTTCTCCAAGGCTATTTGATTGGCTTATTCATCATGGGGATGTAGATAGGTGGGCTAAAAGTAGGTTCCCATATAAAAGATGGGACAATATTACAACCAATATAGCAGAATCATTCAATGCATGGATGGTGAATGAGAGAAAGCATACTGTACCCCAATTGATCTATGAGCACCGAGATAAAGTTGCAAGAAAGCTGCATGCCTCCTATGTGGGTATGACCAAATGGAAGAATTGCGTTGGTCCAAATATAGAGAGTAAGGTGCTGGATATGGTGGCTGGGTCTGACCATATGTATGCTGAAAATTATGGTGGGGGAAGAGTGAAGGTGACAACATCACGTGGAGACCATCGGGTTGATCTTGGACTACACCAATGCAGTTGCAGATCTTGGCAAATGACGGGGATCCCTTGTTCCCATGCTTGTGCTGCCATCAAGATTGTGCACGGCAATGTTTATGATTATATTGATAATTGCTATAAAAAGTCATCACAAGAAAAGATCTATGCTCGCAGTATGATTCCTGTGGTAACAACAGACATGCCTCACCCAAATGACTACTATAGAATAGAAAATGTCAGTGAGCAAGTTTTCTTGCTACCTCCCATGACATCCCGACCACCAGGAAGGCCAAAAGTAAACAGGGATGAATCACAGTTCCAGAACAAACGGATATACCACTGTGGAAGATGCCACCAGCCTGGACACACAAGGAGGAATTGCAGAAATCCTAACCCATCATGAAGTTTCGAGTACAGTGGGGATGGGTCATTTTTTGGTGTACATAGTTGTATGCTCCGCCCTTGTCAACTTTTTTGGGACTGGGGTTGTAGTTAGGAGCTAGGTGGAGACATTTTTTTGTAAGTAAGCTGATAGTTATTTCAGTGATAACGGAGCATTAAGTGTGGCTAGTATCTTAATGTCCACTTGTTGAATACATGAAAGGAAGTTACTGTTATGGGGATGTTAGCTTTTGTTAATGGCGCATTACTTGTTGTCATTTTTAAATTTGTTCTGGTCATTGGCAGTGATGCTATCAGCATAAGCTGACAGCCGTGCTGAACTGATGTTGTAAAATCAGACCAGGTGATCCTTGTCATTATCGCTGTCATATTCGCTTCACTTCGTGTCATTTTTAAATTTGTTCTGGTCATTGGCAGTGATGCTATCAGCATAAGCTGACAGCCGTGCTGAACTGATGTTGTAAAATCAGACCAGGTGATCCTTGTCATTATCGCTGTCATATTCGCTTCACTTCGTGTCATTTTTAAATTTGTTCTGGTCATTGGCAGTGATGCTATCAGCATAAGCTGACAGCCGTGTGAACTGATGTTGTAAAATCAGACCAGGTGATCCTTGTCATTATCGCTGTCATATTCGCTTCACTTCGTGTCATTTTTAAATTTGTTCTGGTCATTGGCAGTGATGCTATCAGCATAAGCTGACAGCCGTGCTGAACTGATGTTGTAAAA